GTAGCTGGGTAAATTGCTGCTTAGAGAGCTGGAGGGTTTGCAGCTAGGCTGGAAGGTAAAGCATGGGTAGGAAAGAGGCCAGGCACCCTGGCACTGCAGGCACGAAGGCACGAGCAAAGAGAAGAAGAGTGGAGGAATGGAGGGGAAAAAAGAGCACAGTCAGACAGCTGGGACCCCTTCGCCAGCACCGTCCTGCTGCACGCCTCTGCACCGTACGGCATGTGGGGCCAGCAAAGCAACCCCAAAGACAGCCCTGCCTCGACGGGGAGCCAGAGCCAGGATGGGGTGAAGCAGCGGGGCAGCACAAGGACTGCCCAGGGGGTGCCACCAGACCCCGTCATGCTCCTGGGGATGCAGTGACAGGAAGGCAGGTGATGGGATGCTTCCCTCCATCCCCTCTTCCTCATTCCATCCATGTACTCCTTTTGACCGATTCCCCCATTTTTCTCCCCATTTCTTCAGCCCCTTCTCTCCCTGTCAGTGCCCTGGCAGCTCCAGGCTCACAGGCCTTTCCCACCCAGACATTTTGGGGGTCAGCAGAGGCCGGGCCAAGCCATTCCTAATCACACAACCCTCCCAGACGAGCTGGTTTGGAGGCATGGCTCTGGCTGGGAGACCGCAGAGCTGGGCTGGGAAAGGGCTGCAGGATCAGGGCTGATCCAGTCACGGCACTGGGATGGGGCAGCCGGACCCTTCACAGCTGAATTGTCACCTCTTTTGGGTTTGCATCGGGGTGGGAGCACCCGCAGGCCTGATCCACAACCCCCCACTCCCCGCCAGGAGCACACTCACATCCCAGAAAGATGAACCCAGAAAAACATGGACCCAGCGCTGAAATGCAAAAAGCCCTGAAGGGGATATTTCCAGAGGAAAATCTGGCTTGGCACACCCCAAGGGTTAACTCTGGCTGTGGGTTCCCCCTGCTCAGCCCTGCTCCCCAACATGACTCCTCCAAGGGGTCCCACCGAGCTCACACCCCATTCTGCCCCTCCCCTCCGACGCGTTTGCTGGCGCCTGCCTGGGCAGGATGAGGCTCGGCAGTGTGGGGCCGGGGCTGAGCGAGGCCTCGAGGGAGCCAGTGAGCTTCTGTGCGGCGTCTGGCTGCCAAGCGGCAGGCGGGAATCAACTCTGGAGCACTCCGGCAAATTGCTTACAAATGTAGGGCCCATGTGCTCTGCTGGGCGCCGGCCATGGCAAAGGCAGTGTGGCCACCCTCTCGCCAGACGGGGCCGAGACCCTCATTCGCAGCCCACTCTCGCTCCAGCTCTGGCCCCAGCTGGGAAGAAAGTGCCGGCCCTCGGCCTTTCGGATCCTCGCTGGTGGGGGGGGCCAGAATGGCACAGCCCTGCATGACGTGTTTCCAACCAGCTCTCCTGACCAAGCAGCCCCCTCTGTCGTGCTGCACCCTGTGCCTCAGTTTCCCCGTGGAGCTGGGCTGCGCTGCACCCCCATGGCGGGGATGCCAGGCCAGGCTGAGCTCCCCATGGGGAGCAGGGGGCACCCGGGGAGCAGCTGGCCAGTGCAGGTACCTCACCTGCACCGCTGGCAGCCGGCCCGGCACAAACCCGTATTTACCCCCCAGGGGCGCTCACCCAGCACCGGCTGTGCTGGCTGCGTGGAGCATGCCCTCGCCCGGCCCAGCTGGCACTCCCTGTGCCAGCATGCTGGGCACCCTGCATCACCCCGTACCCTTCACCGGAGACCTCATCCCTGCGGGGACACCCTTGGGCTTCACCCTGAGGTCTCAGAGGTGGACACGATCCCTCCCAAGCACTTGAACTGCTCACCACTTGCTGAGAAGGAGCGACACATGCTTGCCTGGGTTTGGCTGGGGAAGGAAATGCCCAAATATCCCATGTCCCCTCCAAAGCGCCCCCTGGAGACTCCTGCCCTGGCTCTCACATGGAGAGTCAGGCTCCAGAAAGCAGTGCTTTTGCTGTGACCCCTCCCAATTTTGCCCACCCAGTGTGTCCAGGCAGAGCTTCTCCACTGCAAGCCTTTGTCTCTGTGCAGGACAGAGATCTATAACTCAAGACCCACCTCCTTGCCAGAGATGCCTTGAAAAAATACACCTTTCTGCTAGTCCTGTGTCACAGACCCTCATCCCTTCCCCTTGCCCTGGGAAATCGCATCCCCACACCGCTGGCTGCAAGTATCCCTGTGCCACGAGCCTCTCCGCACTGCAGGTCTGAGCATCCCTGTATCACAAGCACCCCTGTACTACCA